AAGGTTGTTTCGTGATCATGTAAGAAAATTCTAACCTTACTATATCCAGTGGTGCAGGATATATATGTATTTTTTTTAATTGTATGTGGCAACAAATTATAAGTTATATTGAAGGATGATTATAGGTTTCTACGTCACAGCTAAAAGCAATCATAACACTGGCAAAAAGTCATCTGCTTTTTAAAAATAAATACATGTTATTTTAGAATAGTTTTAGGATTGTGGAAAAATCGAGGGCAAGTGCAGAATTCTCATTTATCACTTCTTCCTCCCACACAATTTCCCTTAAGATTAACGTCTCCCATTAGTGTTGTACCACTTGTCTGGATGAACACATATTGATACCTTATGAGTAAGTCCATCGTTTAGGGTTCCCGCTTTCTGTTGTATATTCTGTGGGTCTGACAAATGTATGAGATGTATCTGAAGCAGCCTTGTTGTCTGGGGTAAATACCAAGATTCCTGGTCTCATGGTTAAGGAAGTTGAGGTCTTGGACACAGACACACACAGAGTGAGTTCGGAGCAGGAGTTTAATAGGCAAAAGGAAAAACAGGTCTCTATGACAAAGAGGGGTCCCGAGCCTACTGCCAAGTTGTAATAATGTCGGGGTTTTTATAAATGGGCCAGTGAGGAGGGGGCTCGTCAGCAGGGGATGTCTTATCCTCCTAGGGCCCCAGGGTTTAGTTGGGACCAGGTGTTCTACATGCACAGAGCAGAGTCTTTTATCACACATAGACTCTTAGTCCGTGTTTTCTGGTCCTGCTATCTGGGAGGGAGAGTTTCTGTGTCTGTTCCCCCGTACCTTGCAGCTGTAGGCATCTTGGTGCTTATTATGGCCTGCTGTTTTACTGGGGTCCACCGTGTAGGTGTGAAGCTTGGCGATGGACCCAGGAGACTCCCAGCACCCGCCCCAGTCCTTCAGAGTCTGAGCTCTCATTTGTGTTTTCCTGTCTGCTCTTTCAGGCTGCTTGTTGTTAGAAGTGATTTCTTTGAGTGGCATGAGGTTAGAAAGGGAGCTATTTCTGAGCTGCTTTTTGTTAAGTTTTCCAACCGAAGTGATGTCTTCCTGCTCCTGGAACATATCCACCATGACACATAGAATAGCTTCGCCACCTAAAACGCTCCTGTGCCCCAGGGTGGGAACCGGCTCCGGGTCGAGGCCTCCCCTGGGTTCCCCCAATCCCCGGGCTCTGCCTCCAAATGAGGGACACAGGACAAGGGCGTCCATCCTCTGCGTCCTTACCACCGACAAGGGATCCAGCAGACCCGGACCCGCGCTCCCAGCTGGAGGCCGGTCACGTCCCTGCCGGAGGTGGGACACGGAGCCCAGGAATCACCTTCCGGTCGGTTTGGGCTTCCTGCTCGGGTCCCAGGCGCCGGCGGCTGCCGGGGAAATGGAAGGCGGGGGATCCAGCCGCAGGGAGACCTCGGGGCGCCGGGAGGTGGGGCCCTGTGCGCGCAGCCACGCCTCCCGTCCCCGCCCCGCCCCCGGCCCCGCCCCGGCCCCGCCCCCGGGGCTGCGGAGCGGACTTGAGGCCAGGAGACCGCGGGGACCGGAAGAGGGGTTCCGTAGATGGGGGCCCGGCTCGGCGCGGGAACCGGAAGGCGTTCCGTAGGTAGGGGCCCGGGTGAGCGCCGGAGCGCCCAGAAGCCCCCGGGGCGCCCGCTTAGCAGTGGCCGCGAGCCCCGCCGCCGCGGCGCTCCTCGGTTCCGCTTCCCAGCCGCTTCTGCAGCGCTCTGCTTTGGGGTGAAGGAGAAGCCGGCACCAGGAGCGCCAAAAAAAGCGGGAAAAAGCGCATCGCCTCGATTTACCCAGTGTGACCGCGCCAGGGCCTTCTCAGTTGGGTGAGCATCCGCGCCGACCAGGCCATGGAAGGAAAATCTGTCCGAAGCCTCCGCACCTGTCACGGGCCTCTGACCTGCCTGCGTCATCAGAGTTTGCAGAACTTTGGGGGACCTGAGAAGGGGTGTCCACTGGACAGGACACGGGTGTCTGTGGCTTACGGGCTTTTGGAAGGACAGGGAGAGGGAAACGGGGGATCCCAGTGGCCTGCTTAAGGGCCACCCAGTCGCCTGCTGCCTAGATGGAGACGATTTATCAAGACAAGGGAATTGCAATGGAAAAGAGTAATTCATGCAGAGGCGGCTGTGCAGAAGACGGCACAAATCTGTCTCCTCATATCCGTCTCTGGGAGCATTCAGGGATCTGACTTTTTAAAGATGATTTAGCAGAAGGGACATGGGAAGTGGGGAGTGCTGACTGGTCAGGTTGGAGATAGAATCATAGGAGGTCGAAATGAGTGGGTTTTTGTTTGTTTTTTTTTGTCTGTCTTCTGTTCTTGGGTGCGATGGCAGAATTGGTTGGGCCAGATTACAGGTCTGGGTAGTGTCAGGTGATCCATGGAGCACAGGGTCTGCAAAATATCTCAAGCACTGACCTTAGGTTTTACAATAGTGATGTTATCCCCAGAAACAATCTGGGGAGGTTCAGACTCTTGGAGCCAGAGACTGCATGACCCCTAAACTGTAATTTCTAATCTTGTAGCTAATTTGTTAGTCCTGCAAAGGCAGAGTGGTCCCCAGGCACGGAGGAGGTTTCTTCAGGGAAAGAGCTATTATCAATTTTGTTTCAGAGTCAAATCATAAACTGAATTCCTTCCCAAAGTTAGTTCAGCCTATGCCCAGGAATGAATGAATAGGGCAGCTTAAAGTTTAGAAGCAGGATGGAGTCAGGTAGGTCTGATTTCTTTCACTTTCATAATTTCCTCAGTTGTAATTTTTCAAAGGTGGTTTCACTTTATCTGTTTAAATGTCCATCTCTCGACTAGACATCAGAAAGGGGCACCTGCCCTGGCTGGGTCATTCGAGAAAATCTGTCTAGAGTTCTGCAGATATCTCAGATGGTATTTTTAAAAATTGCACTTGAATCTACAATTATAACAAAATATAATGTTTGATTTACGAATAACTGCCAACTTTAACTCCCATTTGAGTTAGAAATCAGAGTATAATCAGCACAGGTTTATCGTACCTTGTTAAAGAAAAATCTTGAGGTACAATAAAACTTTAAAAAGTTTATTTGAGTAAGAAGAATTCATAAATTGGGAAATATCAAACCAAACGTTGCTTAATGTTCTGGACTTTTATGGGGTAAATTTGAAAACAAATCATTTGATTGGTTGCAGTTACGTATTTGCCTTATTTGATTTACTCCGTCGGAAAGTCCCTAGTTATGAAAGTGCATTGGCTACTTCTGATTGGTTGAGTTTCAGTTCTGTTTTCTTTCTAATAGGGAATTACAGAAATACGTTTCAGTTATGTTTTCAAATCAGTCAAGGTTAAGGTCAATTCTGAGGCTTCACTGGGTTTGTCTGCTCAGGGATTCTTCAGGCCTGCTGTCCATTTTAATTTACTTTAGTAACCTTTACACATAAAGAAACAAGAAATTCTAAAGCTTTTCCCTGGCTTACAGGGAAAAATATTATCCAGTCAGAAGATGAATGCATCGATTTGCAATGTGACAGTTACTAAGTTTACACAAACGTTTATATTGCAGTCTTTCATAGGACAAAGCTACAGGTTCTGATATTTAGGTGTCTTAGAAGAGCTTTCTTTCTATAAATGACATTACTAGAATTTTATATAGTAGAACACAAGACAGAGCTTTACATTTTTAAATAATATCTGCACTTCATCAGGAGAGTAATACTGATACTTTTGTGAATTTTACCAATTTACTGTTTTATAAGAGCCAGATTTTAGGATTTCAGCTGTTGGGGAAGAGGAGAAATTTTCTATTTCATTTTTCTGAGACACTTTCTACTAGGATTTATTAATAAAAAGGAGTTTCAAGTGTAAGTACCAAGTATGGACTTGAGAAGTTTAAAACTTACATTATAAAAAAGAAAAGGGCATGCCTTTCTTTCTTTCTTTCTTTCTTTCTTTCTTTCTTTCTTTCTTTCTTTCTTTCTTTCTTTTTTTCTTTCTTCTTCTTCTTCCTCTTTCTTCTTCTTTTTCTTCTTTCTTTCTTTTTTTCTTTCTTTTCTTTCTTCTTTTGTTTTCTTTCTTTCTTTTTTTATTTTCCATCCTGGAAGCAGTGCTCCACTAAATCTCCTAAAATTACACTGTTAATTACTAATACCCCCATTGCACAGCTGCTTTCATGGGTCCCCGGTGGCTATATCCACGGCCATTTACTGTTACTAACCTACCTTTGTAATATAATTGTTACCAATTTTTATACTTCTCTTCTTCAGGTACTCTATACCAGTGATTCTCAACACAGGCTTCCTTTAAGTGTCATTTGGGAGAGGGATTTCTCAGAAAATATGGGTGTTCAAATTCCACCCCCAGAGCTCCTGATTTAGTCTGTTGTACGTTATAATTGTTTTTAAAAGCACACTAGTAATTCACATGTGTAGGCAAAGTAGAAAATTATTGTTCTGTCTCATTCCTTGTAGCTGAAATAACTTCATTTCAATTTTATGTCTCACAATCTGACCCTTCCTTTAAGATTCCCTGAAACTGCCATCACCCCCTCATTTTTCTCCCGAGGAAAGGCACTCTCTGCCCTCCACTTAGACCACAGGTAGTGCAGTTGGCAAGTTAATTGTAGACCAAGTTGATGATGTCATACTAGAACCATTGACTTTCCTATAGCTTTTTTTAATTTTATGTATTCTATTTTTAGTCCCATTTCTGACCTGCCCTCTCTGTCAGAGTTTGCAGAACTTTGAGGGGCACAAGAAGGGAGTTCTCCCAGACAGGCCATGCTGTCTGTGGCTTAAGGGATTTAGACCACAGATAATAAATTGTGTGTAAATTATAGTGTGAGTTGATGCCACACTGTCCTCATTGACCTTTCTATAGCCTCTCTTAGTTATGTATTCTCTTTTTTGTCCTACTTCCCAAACCCCTATAGGCAGGCACCCATTCTGATGTATTTAATGTGTGCTATTTTATTTTTTTAATACAGGTATTGTTTTCTGCACAAATATATTTATTCAGTAAATATTTGTATTTAGCATAGTGAACAGTTATATATCACGAGTGTATACTTAATTCTCACAAAGTGAGCACCATCCATACAAACACTACTCTTCTTATGAAATAGAATTTTACCAGCAGTGTCAAACCCTCTTGGACCCTTGCCAGTCACCTTTTTCCTTCTTATTCCACAAAAGAATCTTCACAGATGACTTTTGTCTGTTTTAAACTTTATATAAGCGTAACAGCTCAAGATGTATGCAGTAGTGTCTGAGTTCTTGTGCTAATACTATGTTTTTGAGTTCATCCATGGCATTGCCTATAGTAGGAATTTCTTCCAGTTTATTGTTGTATATTACTTAATAGTATTAGTATGCAATATATCTCTATTCTACTTGTAATGGGAATTTGAGTTTCCAGGTTTGCTACAAGTAATGCTATTATGACCACTTTGTGCATGTTCTTTTGTGTGTGTATGTGTGTTTCATGGGGAAATATACTTAAGAGTAGAATTACTAGATCAGGATTTGGTTATGTTTAACTTTAGTAGTTATGTCAGAGAGTATTACACGGTTGTTAGATTTGTTCTCCTACCAGCAGTGTGTTAGAGTTCCAGTAGTAGCACATTCCCCTAAAAATATTTATATTAGTCTTTTTGTTTTAGCCATTATAGTGGATGTTTAGTGATATCGATAAGGTTTTTTCCTTGTGTATTTTTTCTGGTGATATTTGAATTATTTGCTTATCCAGAGCATTCTGTGAGTTCATGGTAAGAGTTAAGCAAATCATTTCAACGTCACCACATAGCAAACCGTTGATGGCTGGGTTTCAGTTTCCTTCCTAAAGGCATTTTCTAATCTGTTCTGCTAAGCTACAAGATGACAGCTGCAGAGACTTCACAGAAAATGTTAAAAATAGACCTTACATTCAGAGATGGCTTGGAAGAGAGAGAATCTGGTAATGTAATTGATGGCATTTGAAAAAATAGGGGCAACTTTTCTTCCACTGCAGCATGAAGGAAGCTGGGTTTTAGGAGCATTAGCACTTCATAGTCAGTCTCTGTAGAAGTGATATGTTTGCAGTTTAGGGATGGTTTGGAGAATAGATGTGTAATTGCTACATCAGTTATTGTACTGTGTATGTTACTTAAATATGTCTAGGGTAAGAGAAACGAACAATGAATTAGATTATAAGAAGACGAAGGAAAAAATGTTCTTTGTGTTTATATTGTTAGTGCTGTTTTTGTTAGATGTTGCCCTGCAAACATAGGGGCTTTTCATTTATTGATCCACGGCTTTTGACTTATAGATCCTTTGTAATTAAAAAGAGATGTGGAGATTTGAGGGTAAGAGTGAGAAGCAGACCCTGACCACCAGCAAACCCTTTAGCGTTTCAATATATGACAGATTTTCTGAGAAAGAACAACCACGTAATGGTGTATGTTTGTGCTTCAGTACAGCAGAAAGGAGACCTTTACTTACCTCTTTTGCTTTTGAAAAAAGTTATTTTATTCTTTTTTTCTCTCTCTCTTTCTCCCCTCCTCCCTCAATTTTATTTATTAAATTTACTTTTATTCCGGAGTTCAGGATACTGCATTTCATAGAAAACAGCATACTTTTTTTTTTTCCTCCAAACTCTGCCAGACACGACTCTGCCCAGAGTTCTTATTTAAACAGACATGTTCTAAAGAGTATATGGACTAACTCAAATGTTTCCAGAACTGAAACTAACTAAGCAAAATATTTGCAGAACTGAAACTAAATATTTGCTACTTGGTGCAGTTGTGAAACTTGTTTTTTAAGATGCATTGCTCCCCTCCCTGTGTCCATAAATGGGGGAGGGACGGGGCGGAGGGTGGGGAGGTGGGAGAGATAGCATGGGGAGAAATGCCAGATATAGGGGGAGGGGAGGAAAGCAGCAAATCACACTGCCATGTGTGTACCTATGCAACAATCTTGCATGTTCTTCACATGTACCCCAAAACTTGCTAAAAGGCAATAAAAATAATAGTTAAAAAAAAAAAAGATGCATTGTGTTGTTTTTTGGATCCTGAAACTGAGTTAAAATTTGACCAGTAATATGGTTTATTTCTTTGTTCCTCTGAGGCATAATTCCTAATATTGTTTTTCCAACTAGAAATCTGAAAGGTATTGTGTTCAGGTGTACTTTAAGAGTGATATGTGTTCTCACTCATAGGCGGGTGTTGAACAACGAGAACACGTGGACAAGGGGAGCACTACACACTGGAGTCTATTGGGGGGAAATAGGAGAGGGACAGCAGGGGGTGGGGAGTTGGGGGGAATGGCATAGGGAGAAATGTCAGATATAGGTGAGGGGGAGGAAGGCAGCAAATCACACTGCCACTTGTGTACCTATGCAACTATCTTGCATGTTCTTCACATGTACCCCAAAACCTAAAATGCAATAAAAAAAAAGAGTGATATGAATTTGTGGGAGTCAGGACACACCATAAGAAAGATAGAAGAGAAATAAGTAAGAGAGAGAAATGGAACAAGATGCATGCAGGAATATTGTTGTAAGCCTTTTCCATAGTTCAGCTAAAAACGAGATTCTCTGTCCCACGGCCATGAAAATTCAGGCTTGCAGAATGTTTAAAGGGTGAGTGAAGCAGGGTTTTATTTGGTGAAAAAGGGAAAAAGAGGGGGAAACAGGTACTCTCGCAAGGCCAGAGGCCCTCTGCTAGAGCTCTTTCCACCTGGCAGTTTGAATCCCAGGTTCCACACAGGAGAACGAGGGGCCAGGCCCAGGCTCATTCCTGCTGCAAACCTTGTGAGCTTCCCAAGGCTCCCCTCAGTGGGCAGGCTGGTTGGAGTTTCTCTAGGGACTCCTTCCCACCTGGCTGTCACAGTATTAGTTGGAGGAGCTAGAGGTGTAAAAAAGAAGAAGAGTACTAGGGACATTTACATTAGTAAGAAAGGCAAATGGGAGATTTGGGGTAACTTTTAAGGGGAGAGCTACATATTCACTTAGTAAGAATGAAAACTAATTATGGAAGTCTTAGTATTCTGAACCTTTAAGATAATTTTGCATTAGTGTGGAACCAGAAAGAATAAAGGTTGAGATTTTTATATGAGCAAAAATCCAAACAATATTCACTGCTTAAGATCATCCAATCTTACCCATCTTTTTCCCTGTCTAGACTCTAAGCTGAAGCTTCTTGTTATTCTTGGAGATGTGTGCTAAATGAAAGAAAGTTGGCAGGGACTTTTAAATACTACAATTTATATTCAGTAAAATTCACTCTTTTGTTGTGAATTTCTATGAGTGAATTTCTAAAATCACTCTTTTGGTGTACATTTCTATGAGTTTTGATAAACATGTATTCATGTAATACCATCAGAGTCAAGATACCGAGCCATACCCACCCACTCCAGATTCCCTCATGCTCCTCTGCAGGATATCTCTTCCTCCAACCCCAGCCCTTGGCAACCTCTGATCTGTTTTTTGTTCTTGCACTTTGGCTTTTCCAGAATGTCATTATCACCGGAATCCTGCAGTAGGTAAAGGTAGAATCTGACTTTATTCACTTAGCAATAATACATTTGCAAGTCATCTGTATTATAGTATGTGTCATTTGTCAAAGAAAAGCAAGTCTGAGCTTAGATAGGGAGAAACTTTATTCAGAAGGACTGTTGCAATAGAAGAAACATTGATTTTGAAAATATGTTAATGATGTGGGAGAGAGCAGGGGAAAAAGTATAGGGATTTCAACAGGAAATGGTGTTTTGTAGTCAGGGTAGGCAGAATGTTTTTTCCAAGTCTGTGCTTTGGGGCTTGTTAGGCAAACTTACAGGCAAACCCATTTGGGGTCTGTCAGGAGGAGAAATACTTGACAAAAGTTTGGCGTGCTAACACACAGTAAGAAATGGGCAATTGTGAATGTGTGATTAAGTTTTTTCTTTTATTAGGGCTGAAGAATAGTTGTTTACCTCTTCACCAGCTGAAGCATATTTGAGTCGTTGCTAGTTTTTCTGATAATGAATGAAGCTGATGTAAATACTCCTTGCAGGTTTTTGGGTAAACACAAGTTTTTACTCTCCCTGTTTAAATACCTAGGGATAGGATGGCCAGGGCATGTGGTGCATTTACATTTATCATAACGGACTACTTAACTGTTTCCAGAGTGCCTATAACATTTTGTGTTTCCAGTGATGAGGCATGAAAATTCCAGTTGCATCCTGTCCATTCTGGCACTGCTATAAAGAAATAACCTGAGACTGAGTAATCTGTAAAGAAAAGAGGTTTCATTGGCTCACCATTCCACAGGCTGGGCAGGAAACATGATTCTGGCATCTGCTCAGCTTCTAGAGAGGCCTCAGGAAACTTACAATTCATGGCAGAAGGCAAAGGGGGAGTCCACACTTCACTTGGCCAGAGTGGGAAGAAGAGAGGGAGTGCGGGAGGGTACCACAGTTTTCAACAACCAGATCGCAAGAGGACTCACTCTTACTGCACCAACAGGGAAATCCGCCCCCATGATGCCATCACCTCCCACCAGGCCCCACCTCCAACACTGGAGATTACAATTCAACATAAGGTTTGGGCGGGGACAGAGATCCAAACCATATCACATCCCTTCCCACCAACAGTTGGTTTGTTTCTTTTTTGTTTTGTTTTGTTTCCCACTCTTAATAAGCATGTAGTAGTCACTCATTACGGTTTTAATTTGTATTTCTTAAACGGCTGGTTATTTCAAGCGTGTTTTTATGCACTTAATTGCCAATCATATATCTTTAATCAAGTGCATCTGCGAATAGTTGGCCCCATTTTTAATTTAGTTTTCTTATTGTTGAGTTTTGAGTTCTTACTATATTCTAGATACAAGTCGCTTTTTAGAAAGATGTTTTTCTGCCTTTGCTTGTCTTTTTATTCCCCTTTCAGGCTTTTCTTTTTCATAGAGTTTTAATTATGTTTAAATTCAACTTATCAATTTTTAAAATATTGATAATGCTTTTGGTATTGTGTCTAAGAAAGTTTTGCCTAATTCAAGTTTACAAATATTTTATTTTCCTCTTTCCTTCGAATAGTTTTAGGGTTGGAGGTGTCATATATGAGTCTGAGATTTATTTTGAGTTAATTTTCTTATAAGGTATTAGGTGTGAGTTGAGGTTCACTGTTCTGCATTAGGATACTCAATTGTTCCAGCATTACATGTTCAGAAAATACTACCCTTTACCTGCTTGATTATTTTCCACTTCTGTCAAATGTCAAGTGACCATACATGTTTGGATTTGTTTCTGAAATCTTTTTTCTGTTCCATTGATATATGTGTCTGTTCTTTTGTCAATATCATACTGTCTTTGTTTCTATTACTTTGTAAATTATGAACACAGGTTCTTTGATTTCCAAATTTAGCCATTTTTTTTTTCAAAATTGTTTGGCTATTCTAGTTCTTTGCTTTTCCATATAATTTTAAGATTACTTTGCTCGTTTCTACAAAAAAAATTCATACTGCAATGTCTGTCAAGATTGTGCTGAATCTCTAAACCTTTTTGGGTATAATTGACATACAGAATATTGCATATTACAGTCTATGAATATCTTATATCTCTCTGTTGATTCAAGTCTGCTTTGATTTCTTTGTCCCTTTGGTTTGTAGCTTTCATCATACTGATCCTAAACATATTTTGATATAATAGTCTTTTGTGTTATTATATATAGCATTATTTTTATACTTAAATTTCCACTTCATAATTACAAATATATGGAAATATATTTTTATGTATTAACATAGCTAATCCTGTAACTTTGCCAAATTCATTTATTCTAGTAGCAGTTTGGTTTGGTAGATTCCTTAGAATTTTACATGCAGACAACTATGTTGTCTGTGAATAGCAACACTTGTTTCTTTCCAAACTGTATGACATTTCTTTCTTTTTTCTTATCTTTTTGCCCCTAATAGGACATCCAGCAAAATGTTAAATTGGATTGGTGAGAGAGAGCAGACCTCTTTGCCTTACTCCTTGTCACTGGAATTCATTCTTTTATCAAGTTTGGTGCTAGCTGTAGTTTTTCTGTAGATGCCCTTTAGCAGGTTGAAGAAGGTTTTTCAGTTTCTAATTTGTTGAGACTACTGGCGTGGGTGAATATTAAGTTTTTCACATGCTCTTGCTGCATTTATTCAGATGCTCATATGCTGTCCCTTTCTCATTCTATTAATATGGTGAATTACATTGATTCATTTTCTGCTTTCCTTGTTGCTTCTAAGCAGCTGTTTTACTACAGGACTAAATCTGGATTGTGTATGTTTCTTTTTCATCCCAATTTCTACTCTTTTTCCAATAACTGGAAGATTCCCTGAGGATGGGGAGAATTTGATTTTTGTCTCTAGCCCTCTTTGGGCCATTATTCTCATTTTGAACCAAGACCTTTCATGAAAGGAGTTGGCCATAGGAGAGTTGAAGTACAGCTAAGCTTGTGTTGATTGTATGATACATTTTCTCCCTACGATCTTCCTGAGATTGAGATTCTGATGTTTGTATTTTACAGGTAAAACTCTGCAAAGAAAATGCCTAGCACTTCTATCTCCGGTAACTCCTCTCAAGGTTTATTGCTGCTTGTTCATCGCCGCAGTTCTGACCACAAGTGTGGTTGCGCTTTCCATTGTTTTGTCAGGTAAGTTACTTGTTCTCCAAACTGTATGATGTTATTTACATGTTTATGTTGTCAATAAATATTTATTAAGTTCTATTATTTGCCTGTCACTGTGTGAAATGCTTGAATTACATCAGCAAACAAAATACGCACAAAAGAATCCTTGCTCCTCAGGGACTTATACTCCAGCAGAAAAACACAAGTAATAATAAATAAGGGTGGAGGCGTAACAGGTTGCAATAGGTTGACAAAGCTAAGCCTCCTTGGAAGATGATATTTTAGCAACCTTTTGAAAGAGATACAAGAACCATGTGGCTACCTGGGGAAGCTATTCCAGACAGAACATGTGGACCAAAAGCCTACAGGAGGACTCTTCCTGGCTTGTTTGAGGAACAGCAGGGGGACTTCTGTAGATAAAGCAGAGTGAGGATGGAGAAGAAGAGCGATACCATGGGGCATTAGGAATGAAGGAACCTTGAGGATCAGTTAAAGACTTTGGCTTTCACCTTCAGTGCAATAGGGAGCCTTGGATGAGGGAAACTGTTTGAGAGGAATGTCGTGATGTGACTTCCATTGTAGAATAATCACTTGATTGCTGTATTGGGACTAGGCAGGGGAGGGTGGTCAGATTCTGGATATTTTGAAAGCTGGGCCAACAGTGTTTTATATCAAATTGGATAAAAAGTCTTAGAAAAAGAAAAGCAAAAGATAAGTCTGTCTTTCTTTTGAGCCTTGGCAAGAGTGCACTTCCCACTCATTAATAGAAAGCTATGGGCATAGGAATTTCACTTACGGAGCTATTTCCTGACAAGTTCCTATCAGAATTGTCATTTTTATTAAAAATAAAGTAGTATCTCTACTTGAAATGTTTTCAGATAAATCATCTGGCCTTAATAACTGGTGTCTTCTACTTACGCAGATTGAGAATGCACGAAAGCACAGAGAACTATATACATAAAAAAAAAAAAGAAAAAGAACCTCATCTCTTGTACATAGAGGCAGTAGGTCCTCAAGAGGCTTTGTCAAGAGGAAGGAAGGCTAATATGAGGAAGATATGGAAAAATCATCTACATGGCCTTGTGAAAGTACAGTACTATGGAAGTCGATGCTATAGAAATTGATTTCCTTGAAACTGTAATGTCAGTGTAAACTTCAGAAAGTCAGGGGTGCAGGTACCCACTGAAAACCACTGGGCTGATGACTGTTGTGCTTAGGGTAAGGCACTATGTGATGAGTTAGGAAAACAACAATCAGATACGTACACTTCAAAATTGACCTCAGGAAGGTAAGCAGAAAAATAGATGAAAGGGATGAGAAAATGTATTTATCATGTTTCATTGTGATTGTCTCAGTTTTAGCCAGGAAAGAAAAGCCTGTGATAGAGTCACCTAAGTACGCCGCTTGCCCAAAAAGCTGGATTGGATTTGGGAGTAAATGCTTTTATTTTTCTGAAGACACAAGAAATTGGACATTCAGTCAAGTCTTCTGTGTCTCATTAGAAGCCAGCCTCGCTCAGTTTGCAACTGTGGAAGAACTGGTAAGAGATATTTTTGAATCATGTTTTCTGTCAAATAACTTAGGCCCCTGGGGCAGGTCAGCTACATAGGGTTAAAGCTGCAATACGAGGAAGGATCCCATTCCAGGGGCATGAGATGTGTTTTCATGTCCAACATTTGTGGAGGATGTGTTCTCTGCCTGGAACCCTGTGAGATATTTTAGATATATTTTCTCATGTAATTCTCATGGTGAACCTGCAAAATGAGTTGTATTCTCATTCTATTAAGAATTAAGATAATTGTATAATTTGTCATCTAGATTAAGACATATAGGGTATTGAAAGTGAACATTAATATATTGGTGGAATGACAAGCTTAAAATAGGAATTTCCCAATCGAACTGGGATGTATGCTCACTTTAAATAAAGTAATTTAGGATCAGGGACATTAAATGACTTAAACTGAGAATTGGGAATTAGTCTCACTCCAGAGTGTAAGCTGCTTAATTACACCACGCTGCCAGTCAAAAAGAGAAGGGTTAGGGAAGAGAGACTCCAGAGTGATATGGAAGAAAGGGACACATGGTATTACTTTCTGTTTTATTATAGAATTTCCTGAAAAGATACAAAGGCCCTTCTGAGCATTGGATTGGCCTTAGAAGAGAATCATCCGACCGCATTTGGAGGTGGACAGACAACACAGAACATAATAACACGTATGTTTTGAGACTTACGTTTCTGCTCTGTTTATGTGTGGTTATGTGTGTGAGTTGTGTTTTTGAGATGAAAAATACATCATGGAAAGCTTACTGCAACATGAGGTAAGAAATCTAAACCCTTTTTATATTAACTGTGTCTTTGGGAAGGCTTTACTTAACTGTGATTTCAGTAACATGACAATGACATTTGACACAATTTTACACTTTAATTCACTGGTTTAAAACTGCTAAATCCCTACTTATAACTGATTTACAGTAAGTGTTCTACAATCGTAGGACACCGCCAAGGAGCTGGTATCCACAAGGCTGCTAAGCCCACTCTGCCAGCTGTTGCATCCATTCACAATAGGAAAGCATCCAGGGAACTCAAGGGTCTCTCTCACTCCTAAAGTTTTGTCACCAGAAGGAAACTAGTAACAGTTAATTGGACTGTGAACATTTCAATGGGGGTATTTTGAATATAATCATCACATTGTAGCAGACAAAATATAGGAACCCAGTCCTATCCATTAATCAAAGCTAAGCCTTTTTAGGAATCTACTGCGTTTTTGTTTTGTTTTTACTTTCACACATTTATGAAACCGTTTGGGAGACTGGAAATCATCTTCACTGAAGACCACCAATGGCAGCAGTTCATTTGGGTGCAGCGGAAAGCATCAGTTAACTACCTATCAACATAGCTGGGCTTGGTATGGATGAATGATAGGCTGGTGATTTTCAAGCAAGGACCTTGAGAACATAAAAGACACTAAATACGGAAATGGTTTATAATACTATGAAGCAATATTAATGACAGACTTTTGCTTTCCTCTTATTCACAGTAAAATACAGAGGGGGTGCAGAAGATGAGAGGGGAGGAACAAACGCAGGTGTCTGACTTCCAAATAGTTAATATTTTTGTGTCTGGTTTTAGGTTTCCTATCAGAGGAGTTGGAGAATGTGCCTACCTGAATGACAATGGAGTCGGTAGTGCCAGCATCTACACAGACAGAAAATGGATTTGTAGCAAGCCAAACAGTTATGTCTACAATTGCCAAATTAGAAACTCTTTACAGAATTTCCCTATGGATGCATCATAACTTGTTGTATGTAGCTGCCGTGTATAACAGCTGGAGACACCTGGATATGCAGGCAGGAGACTGCTGTGGGGTGGGTCCCTCCTCAAGAACCTCTACGAGGGCAGTGCAGAGACCTCACCGGGGCGCTACCTGGTGGAGCGGTGAAAAGAGAGCCACCATCCTGTGGCACAGTTTAGTACTTTGTTGATATAAAGAAACTTATTTTTGTCATTTTAGTGCATAAGTACATCAAAGTATGACTACAGCTATCCTAAAAGCATGTACTGTTAGGTGACATTGGGACATCTGGACACTCTGCTGTTGTAGGCGTTTGTCCTTGCAGGCATTACTACACTTCCTTAGCTGTAAACAGCTTATGACCATGGGTCATTTTCTTTATCCAATCCACTGTTGATAGGCATCTGCCTTGATTCCATGTCTTGGCTATTGTGAATAGTACAGCAATAGACTTACATGGTTCAGCTTTTACGGTAACAAAGTTGTGAATTGGACGTACCCTTAGGTCATATAACCTGAGCATGGCCAGGTGAACCAAGTGTGCAACCACAGGGGAAACGCAGTTGTTTAGACTGAGGTACAGAGGCTGAATTAAGAAGTGGGCCCATGGTGGCAGGATCCAGGATCCAGCTGGATGGAACTCAGGTCTCTCTCCATGGCAGGATCCAGTCAGAGCATGCTTCCCAGCATCACCTCATTACAAGATCCAGTCAGATGGTATCTCGTTACCCTATGCTTATAAAACCTGACCCAACTCCCAGCTTGAGGAAGGACTGCTTTGGGAGCTTTGCCCAGTGTTCTTTTTACTTTCTGCAAGTGATGAACTCTTGCTAAATCCTCCCTGGCTGTGGTCATGGCGTTGACACTTGACAAGTGACTAACCCACCTGTTGTGTGGGTAACATTTGTAACATATTTCTTTATTTTCTTTGACTCTCGGCATTGGTGTCTGTGCCCCAGATAACACAGCTTCCTTTCCAGTCTTCACAGACAGGTCTCATACAGGAGAACACCTTTACCAACCAGTCCAGACAGAGGTTCTGTGTGCCACTTAAACTTTCATGGTAGTTGAAGTCACAATGTTTATTCTTAATGGTCCTCAGGCATCTAGAGTATGCCAGATCCTTTCAGTGCTCTCAGACACATGAGATAAAATCCAGTTCTTCCGGTAGCAGCCAGAAAAGCTGGGGGGCTAGTTATTTGGTCTGTCTCCTTTGCTTTTCAGAGAGAAGCTGGAAGCTGGACTTTATCACTCTGCACTGAGCCAAAGTGGGGAGCAGTGAAAGTACCCACATGCTTATTAAAAACTGCTCTGAAAATATTTGAAGTAACAGGGCTATAACAATTACTATTTAAAAAACAATTGTTTTGTTTTGTGTAGCCCCAGAGGTTTAACAGATGGTGGGCCCTGTCAGCTTACCAAAACAGGGGTTAGAAACCAGTTCCTCTCTTCAACCAATGGATTAATAAGAAAAAAAAAAGAAACCAATCCCTCTAGTAATACCTAGAGAAGTACCAGATAGGTATCACAACTTCTCTAGGTTGTGATATTCTAGTGCATCTCTCAGGGACAGGCTGAGAGATGGGAGTTCCTTCCTAACCATGTGGCATCATATGAGGGCTGGGGGTTATCACAGTGTATGCAAGTCGTTTCCTGCCAGTTCTGATGTGGATAGTTTCACACTCACCTAGGGTGCAGGAGTGGCTCATTAGTTTCTGGATTTCCAATGATTGAAATTTATCTGTGTGTTGCTATAGAACGGATGTGTCCATGGTGAGGAAGGAGAGTTTAGACCTTTTTATTTTGCCATCTGGTGACTCTGACAGTTTCTTTTAGTACTCTACTATCATACAATCTAAGTTACTACATTTGTAGACATTTCTCTCACATTAATGACAACTTATATTTACACAAAAGCCTTATATAACATGTTCATAGCAGCTTTATTCATACTAGCCAGAATCTGTAAAAAGCATATGTCTCACAATAAGTGAATAATTAAGTAAACGCTGTTACAGGCATATAATGGAATACTACTCAGCAATAAAAGGGAATGGACTATTGATGCATACAAAACTTCCTTGAATCTCAAAGTACTTAGGCTAAGTTAGAAGAGCCAGTTACCAAAGACTGCATTTTGTATGATTATATTTACGTAACATTCTTGAAATGACAAAATTGTACAGATAGAGAATGAGGGTTATGGATAGGTGAGTGAAGAAGAAGGCGTAGTATGGAGAAAAGGTGGTATGGATCTCTGTGGTGATGGAAGAGTTTTGTTTCCTCATTGTATCAGTGGTCATTATCTTAGTTGTGATATTCTAGTGCAGTTTTTTAGGTATTAACCTTTGGGGGAAACTGAGTAAAGAAGATGTGGGATCTTTCTGTACTATTTCTTACAACTGCATGTGAATTACAACTAGCTCAATATAAAAAAATTATAAAATGAAAGCTATGTTAGATGGAGCAAAAAATAATTCATCCCTTTCATGCACACAGCATCAGAGAGTATAACATAATTTGCGGAACCTAGTGCAGAATATAAATGTAGAACGTCTTGTTCAAAAATTATTAATAATCTTGAGACATTAATGATAAAGCATTAAACCACCTGTGGGGCCCTTTAAGCCTGAGGAACTGTGCTACCACACAGATTGCATGTTCATGTTGCTGGCCCTGCAAATAAAATGACTTTTGCCCATGATTGATTCACCATGGACTCTTTGGACTCAGTGAATTTGCTTCTTCAGGAAGGTAATTTTCTTTTCTTTCTCTGCTAAGCTGTTTAACAGTAGTTGCTCTGCCTAATGGGCTTCATCTTCTCTCAGATCGTTTTTGTGATGCACTAGGATGAAGCACACCTTTTCTCCTAGTCTTGAGGAAACATCAATATTCAGAACATTTAAACCCCAGAACTGAACAATCAGAAAAGTCTCTGGCCAGTGTTCCACACTTGAGGGAAATGGCATTATCTGAGCCCTGAATGAAAAGATTGTAGATATTGTCCATATCAAAGCATCACCAGGAAGATTTTAGATGTTAAAGTCCATAATATTTCCTAAAGCAGGCATAAATTACTAGTAACTTAATAGGTATATTAACTGATGGTTTTTTGGGCACCTTCATTTAAATCACAGATTTCATTCCTCAGAACAAACCAGTCAAGGAAAGTGCTATTATACTCCTTTATTCATATAGATCTTGAGGTTGAGAGAGCTTAATTAACATAATATATTTGTGTAATCATAAATTACCATAAACTAGGGGTGCTATAGTCTGAATATTTGTGTCTGCCACTCCCAAATTTATTATGTTGAAATCCTAATTCCCAAGGTGATGATATTAGGAAGTGAAACCTTTGGGAGGTGATTAGGTCATGAGGGTAGAAGACTAATGAATGGGATTAGTGCCCTTACAAAAGGGGCCCGCAAAAGCTCCCTTGTTCCTTCTACTATATGAGGACACATCTAGAAGGTGCCATCAATGAATCAGAACTGGGCTCTCAGCAGGCACCAAATCTGCCAGCACTCTGATCTTGGACTTCCAGGCTCCTGAACTGAGAAATACATTTCTGTTGTTTATAAGTTACCCATTTTATGGTATTTTGTTACAACCCAAATGAACTAAGACAAGTGGTTTAAAAACAACACAAATTGGGGGGCCCCAAGATGGCTGAGAGGAGGCAACACCAGAATGCGGCTCCCAGTGAATGAGATGCAGAGGGCTAGAGGATTTAACAATTCTAAGCTAGGTGCTGGGTTTTTTTCGGTGGGACTGGTAGGACACTGAAAATAATAGCCCAGGAAAGGAGCTGAAGCAGGGTGAGAGGCACCCAGAGAGGGCAAACCAAGACAGGGCAGGATAAGTCCCCACCTGGAACATGCAGCCGGCTCGGTGGTTCGGGGACTTCACCCCCTTGGTGCTCCGATTCGGATCCTGTGCTACCTCATCCCTCCTGTGACCCAAGGTCCATGAGATCCCTGCCAGACTGAGGGGTGCCATGGGTTGTTATGCAAAGCTGAGCAACAGCTTCCGCCTGGTGCCAAAAGTTGGCACGGACCTGGGTGGAAGTTCGGACTAATGACAGTGGGATGGACCCATCCCACAGAAAGAGGCGGAGTTGAAAGCAGGGAAACAGGCCATAAGACCTGGCAGGCCCCATCCCCACAAAACTTAAACTGAAGCCCATGCACTAGACAGCTTGGCAGCAAATACGCCAGTTTGACCAGGAAGATGGAGCATGGGGAAGGAGAGATGCCACTGGGAAGGTGGGGATAATCTCACCTGCAAACAAATTCCAGGGGAGGACCACCCACCCAGCAGCCTGACTGAATATGAGGCAGCCCAGCATTGTCTCTACAGGCCAAAAAAGATATAGCTCCAAACTTAACAGAAAGGACATCTACTCAGAGATTACTCCCAAAATCATCAACTTCAAAGATCAAAGGGAGAAAAATCCATGAAGATGGGAAGAAACTAGCACAAAAGGATGAAACCATCAAAGACAAGAACACCTCTTCTGCTCCCAGGGATCACAACTCCTCATAATCAAGGGAACAAAACAAGACATAGAATGAATTTGATGAATTGCCAGAAGCAGGCTTTAGAAGGTGGGTAATAACAAACTTCTCTGAGTTAAAAGACCATGTTCTAACCCAATGCAAAGAAACTAAGAACCTTGAAAAAAGGCTAGATGAAATGTTAACTAGAATAGCCAGCTTAGAAACAAACATAAATGACTTGATGGAGCTGAAAAACACAGCACGAGAACTTTGCGAGGCATACACAAGTTTCAACAGCCGAATCAATCAAGCAGAAGAAAGGACATCATAGACAGAAGATCAAATCAATGAAATAAAATCAGAAGGCAAGATTAGAGAAAAAAGAGTGAAAAAAATGACCAAAGCATCCAAGAGCTATGGGATTATGTGGAAAGACCTAATCTACCCTTGATCAGCATACCTGAATGTGACGGGGAGAATGAATCCAAATTGGAAAATCTATCCAAGAGAACTTTTCCAACTGAACAAGGCAGGCCAACATTCAAACCCAGGAAATACAGAGAACACCACGAAGATATTCCTCTAGAAGAGCAACCCCAAGGCACATAATTGTCAGATTCACCAGGGTTGAAATGAAGGAAAAATTTCTAAGGGCAGCCAGAGAGAAACATCAGGTCATCCACAAAGGGAAGCCCATCAGGCAAACAGCAG